AACATGAATTATGTAGAGCAGATGACGTAATAGAGCTATCTTGAGTTTGAATTAAGACAGCAACATGAATTATGTAGAGAAGGTGGATACATTTTTTCCTTTTATAAATGGATAGATGAAGAAAGTGGTCTTTTTTTTTTTAAGAATGGTATGTATTATAGATTTGTAGGCAGATTCGATTATCAAATCGATTGTTTTGAAATAATATCATAATAAAACCATAACAATTCAAATAAGCTAAGCCAAGATTCTCTAAGTAAGAAACCCCTAGCGTCTAGTTGAATCTTTGCTTGGATCGAAAAGAATTTAGTGTAATGTAAGAGAATAAAAACCAAAGAGAATATACAACTATATTATCTAGAATTTTTTATGAAGCCAACATTTTGAACTATAGGTGGTGTTGCATTAGACAACATTGGATAAATGTAGGCGTATCTTAGTTGTTTATGGATATTTTGAAAATAAATTTGTTAAGTTAGATCGGACTCAATATGATAATTAAAAGTTACTTAACAAGTGGATCTCTTGAAAAATAGGTCTCAAGTTACATTTTAACAATTTATTGAGTAATTTTTTTAAACTTAGTCAAGAAATGGTGGATTACTTAAGAAATAAAATTACTCATTAATTTTACTGTACTTCGTCTTGAAACTCTATTTCTTCTCAAGAAATAAATAATTTTTTTTAAAAAGTTGGTGGGTCACTTACCCCACTGTGCCTCACTATTTTTTATTGAGAAATTAGATGAAAATAGATAGAAATGATGGTTTGCGCTATCAAANACAATAGTTACAATTAATTCTTTAGTTTTTTTATTTAAATATGAGGGTATATTCGTCATTCCACTATTTTTTATTGAGAAATTGGATGAAAATTGATAGAAATGATGGTTTGCGCTATCAAATGTATAATTAAGAGAGAAAATACCAAAAAAATAAAATGTATGGACTTTTTTGCAATATTAGTGAAAGATAGGGACATTATGTGCTAATTATCTTTTTAATAATTTATTTGGAACTCATTTGCGCTTTTCAAAAAAAATGGGATTATGTTTGCAATTAGTTTTTTTTTTTTCCTTTTGTTTTATTTAAAAGGAATGTTACTTTCGTCATTTCAAAATTTTTAATTGAGAAAATTGATAAAAATGACCTTTTGTGCAATGAAATATGGAAATAAGGGTGGAAATGTCAAAAAATGAAAGGTAATGACGTTTTCCACAATAATAATGAAAGGTGAAGATGTTATGTGCTAATTACCCTAAAATATATTATGGAACAAATATCAAAGTAAATGGTGTAAAGTTGTATCACAATGGAATGGAGAAATGGCCATTTATATACGTGTGACATCACTCTAATCACAACACTGGTAATTGAGTATGGATCATCCTTGGTGTACAGGTAGGGGTTCACAAAACCCCTACCGAACACACACAAGCAGGGGTGGGGTGGGTATTTTTTAATGAGGCGGATCCCATGATGTAAGAGGCTCGGCTCTGTCAGACTTTTTACAGGCCTGGCAGAGCAGCATAATTCAACTGAGTATATATGTACTTGAGCCATCCAAGTGTCTTGCAAAGATTCTGATTGGTAGGGGTCATCGGCCTACAAAGGGCAACATGTCCTAGGGCTAATCTTCGGCCATAGGCTATCTTTATTAAATTACCTGATTGGAAGATCTTGGCAATTTCTCGGACAACATAGACAAGGTGCCTTTCGTGTGATGATTACATCGACTCAAATCATTCGTGAGTGTACCGTTAAGTCTAACCTAAATATGGGGTGGACTCATTTTTTATACAACCCAGTCCAAGGGGTATGACAATTATGACAGTAGACCTCAAAAGCTATCTTTGCCATGTCGGAGATCAAAAGACTTTAGAAGTAGTCTTAGAGAAAACTACACCTATAGTCTTCCCCTTTATTGAAGACGGATCTAAAATCTCCATGGCGAACATCCATAGACTACACATTCGTATGTGAGGAAGAGTGGAAGCCACTCGATCGTGGCTAAGGAGTGGATCCCATACTGTGACACCTAGACGTCCAAGTCGAATTATTTATGTTTTCCATCCTTGATGTGTACCAAAGCTAAAAGAAAATAAATACAAATTCTATCATTTTGAAATAGTTAAAAGGAATGAACTATAACCATAATCAAACTTAATCAAGTAATTATTTTATAACTATACTTATAATCAGCTTACCCATGTATGAATTTGAGGTTGCAATAAATTCCAAACAGGAATATGACTGTTAGAACTTGACATCTCTTTTGCTTAAAAAAAAAAAATCAAATATGAATTGGAAAGAAATTAAAGACTTCAATTCATTAATGATCACTAAATGCATGGCCCCATGCCTAAGCTGCCACGCAACGTGACGACAACTTGATGAAATTATTTGGTCTAAATTTCGTTATATATAAATATGGCAACAAGGCAGGGCAGCAAGGTAATTTTCCTCTCCGTTACCCGTTTTAAGGTAAGGTGGGGCGGGGTCCTTGCCATGTTCATTACTCAATTTTTTTTTTTTTATATATGTAAATTTTTGATAATTCATCTATTGCCCATATTCATTAAAGTGAGACGATAATATATTTTTTATTTATTTTTAAAAGTTAAATTATTCAAATATATTAGGTAAATTAAGGCTTTTATTGTTTGTCATATTTTTTAAATAATCTTAGTTGCCATTTTTTGTTAGGATTAATAAAATTTCGTGAAATTTTTCATTTAAAGTATTGAATTCTAAAAAATAATAATAATAAATGGGGCGGAGCGGGTACCCGTTATCCTTACCCGCCCCGTCCCTGACCCGAATATCCAATTAAGCGGGTAATAGGTATCGAGTTTGTCGAATTTTTTGTCATCCCTAATTATATATTTGAAAAGAAAAAGGATTAATGGCCTCAACCAGTTACAACTTATTTAAAAGCAATCACATAGGCCCTATATAAAAGGATATTCTGTAGAGAAAAGCTGGAGACAATAGCGTCAATCCAACGTAATTTGAGGAAGAGGTTTTTTAAAAAAATATTTTTTCCTGTTTATGATTTATTTGTTTTCTTGTAAAGTACTAAAGATAATTTTTTAAGAAAAAACTTGTATTTTCTTTCCGAGGTAATGGGAATGAAGTGAAATAGAAGAAAAAAAATATTTGATATTTGAATTTTGTAATAGTGACCAAATGTCCAAGGGATATAATCCGTCTTAAAATCTGTAGTTTATTTTTTTTTTTTTTTTCAATATTACATTTAATGGGTGTTTGGTAGAGATTAAAATTTGATTTTTAGTAAATTGTGATAGAAGTTTTTGAAATGTGTTATTGAAAAGTTGTATGACCCATAAAAAATGTGGTTAATATTGATTGTTTGACTTTGACTTGGATTAAGATTTTAATTCAAGACCGAACAGGGACTTATAATTTTTCTTGACGGAATTTTTCTAAAATAGCTAGAACTACATGGCCAACGGTTTTATTGGTCAAAACAAAGAATCAACCGTGAATGTTTCTAAGAAAGTAGACATGCTCAATTATGGGTGGGGAGTTCGAATCCTGGATGGAGCAGTTGAGTGATGTAATACTCAATTATGGGTGGAGCAGCTTGGTGATGTAATATCAATGGAGGAAGGTTCCCTTGGGGTCAGGAGTATAAAGGGTGCACGGACCCTGGTCAAATTAGGCATATACCGCGATTAACTTCCACCCATCGCTGAGGGGTCGGGAATGGGTGGTCCAGGACATAGTTTG